CTACAGACGCAGTTCTGGGGAATTGCATAATGGAGTTTGGTTGGGGGTTCAACTATGGTTTTAAAAGATTTATATCTTTTCACTGGTTTTGATTGGAACACACTAGACATCCTATTCGATCTCCTGAAAATATCATACTATGAATGCTTCCTATGGCCTAAGATCTTCATAGCTTCTACTTGATGAACTACCAGTAGAACCCCAAATTATCGTAAAAATCGATATACATATGATTCAATAAGGAAATTATATGGCTTTCCATTTATCTACATGTCATGTAACATCACCTGGTAGTTCTGTAATACTGAGCTTTCTAAAGCTCACTATATTATTCACCATTGCAGGTTAAAAGAATTGTACCAGTGTAGTTATTGATTAAGGGAGTTCTTCCAACGTTGATTGCATAGGATGGTACATGTGATTAGGGGGCATGTAATTGTATTTGGTTTTATATATGAGTCTGAAAATCTATTTTATTTCTGAATATTGATAAAATATTTTATGAGTTTACACATTTTTGATAAAAGTTTTAAATTTTAATCTATTTTTACGGTGGGTCTCTCCGGTGACCCTAATGTGACACTCCAGATCGCATTGGGTTACACGTATCGGTCTGAGGGGGTTACATTTGACTTTCTCAACAAAAATCTACACCTTAGCTATTCACACTAAGAATTTTCACAAATTCACTAATTTGTAGCAATCTTTGAGGATAATGTGTAACCTTAAAAATCCTAAAAATTACAACCCCAATTCTTGGGACACTCTCTCAAAGAGAAAATTACATATTGTAATCTTACAAAAACCTCGAAAATGTTTGTACATTAATAGAACAAACAAGAACACTTGAGAAATAAATAAATAAAATGTACAAAAGTGTTCCTTGAAAGCTAAAGAAATGTTAGAGAACATTAACTTGAAGTTTGCTCTATTTAATTGCTTTGACTTTCTTTGTGATCTCTTGTCTTCACATATGTGTTAAGATATTGCGTTTTATACCCTTCATTCAATTCTAAAAGTTTGGGTAGTTGTAGGAGTTGATAGAGCTGTTGGAATGAAGCTTTCCCACAATAAATTGCCTAGACGCTTTGAGTATCGGTACTTGGGCTTGGAGTATCGATACTACATGTATTAATTATAAAAATATAGGGGTTTAAATGAACATAGCTTGAACAAACAAGATTGTGTTCGTTTGTTTATTTTTGAAAGTGTTCATGTTCGGTTCGTGTTTGTTTAATTTTTTAGTATTGTGTTCGTTTATTTATTTTTAAAGGTGTTCATGTCCATTTATTTAATTTTCGTGAACATGTTCGTTTGATGTTCGTGAACATGTTCATTTAGTGTTTGTTTATCGTTCACAAACATGTTTGTTTAGAATAAAATGGAAAAGAGGGTGACAGGGAAAGTTTTTGTGTTATAATAGAGAAAATGGTAAAACTACACAACTAGTGCTTAAGCATCTCACGATTCATAGTTTAAACTCCAAATTTCATCATATATGCTGCCTTCACTAATATTCAAAATATAAAAAATTAATGAGCTTCTAAACGAGCTTGTTCATGAACATAAACAAACTGAACACACCTTTTTTTTGTGTCCGTTGGTTTATGAAATGAACATAAAAATTTTGTTCATACTTCTTTATTTAGCTTAATAAAGAAACATAAAATAATATTATATGAATGGTTCACGAACAGTTCATTGAATGCTCTGTTCATTTACACCCCTACAAAAGTACAGTCATTGGAGAAATAACAATATCAGTACTAATCAAAGGAGTGTCGGTACTACTATTATAAGTAGCATCAATATTATATGAGTATCAATACCAAGATAACATACCATAATTTGTTATCTTTCAGAACCATAAGGGTAGTATCGACACTACCATTTGGAGTATCAATACTATTGTTATAAATAGTATCGGTGTTGAAAGGGTATCAATACCAAATTTGCTTACTATTTTTGCAAAACAAAAAGAGTATCGGTATTATATTGAGTATTATAGTCATTACTGTGTGTTTGTAAACTTTTAGCATCGATACTACATTTATACCACATGAACAATATCGATATTGTTCTTGTAGTATCGATTATTTATACCACATGAACAATATCGATATTGTTCTTGTAGTATCGATTCTACTATGCTTAAAAATAATTTTTAACTCGATTAAAGTTTGAAACCCTTAGAAAAAATTATTCTAAAATTATTTTAAGTATACAATTCAATTTTTCAAGAAGGTAAGGAGTAAAATAGTTTTTTTAACTTATGAAAGAGTTTTTATACTCGAATAATTGACTTGAATATAATCTTAATTTTTTTAAAAAATATTAATTACATATGGTATATCAAAATATCAAAGTATGTTCAACAATCTCTCCCTTTTTGATATAATAAAAATTTTGAATAAATTTTTAAAAAATACTCCCCTTTACTCTAAGTTTTCTCCCTTTTTTGTTAAATCAAAAAGTTAAAAACTAAGCAAAATATTTAGATATAAGTTGTGAAAATCAAATTGCCAAATAGAATCAATCTATAATAAAAATACCCTTAAACATAAACATGATCATAATAAAGAAAAATAAAAATGTCTCAAAACATTAAATACATAATTATCCATAAAATTCGCAAAATATCCAAATATGCATAAATATTCAAAAATAGTCAAATCACATAATCATCCAAAAGCATAATTAACCAAACCTAAAATAGCGAAATACTAGAAATAAACATAAAAAAGTAAAAAAAAATCCAAAACGTCCAAATGCAAAGCCATGAAATGCAACCAAAAAAGACGATCAAGCATCTGACGGGGAGGAGGATCATGATCCAAAGATGAGGCACAGAAGAAAGCAAAATCACGAGAAAAAGTGTTAATCGTATCCGTTACCGAGTCGAATCTTGTATGAAAATCACATCGAGAAACTACAAACATCACCTGAAATGTGAGCTGCTGGGAAGCTATCTCGGAGACCTAAGTCTGCAACGCAAACTATCGGGAGGAAAACGTAGCATATTGCATGTTGATTGTCTCCTTCATCATCCGAAGATGAGAAGGTAGATGAATGTCACTGGCATCCTCACCACTAACTTGAGGAGGATCATCAGGAAGACGCTTCACTAGATTATCAATATCTCTCATCACGTCATCGTCCTAAGGTTGAGACTGAGCTAGAGTCGCTTCGGATGAACTAGCACCTTGCTTCCCTTCCCATTTCCATGTGTTGCAGAATTATTCTTATCCTGACTTTCGATGAAAGAGGTCAAGAGAATATAGGTGTCTTGAGAGACATCAATACGAGCTTTGATTGAAAATGATTCAGAAGGCAACCATAAACTAAAGACTTAACTCGCTTGAAGAGAATATTTGTTACGATGTTCACAAGCTCACTAAAAACAATTTGAGCAAAGTTTATCTTTTTGTTGGTTTGGAAATAATGAAGTCACCAAATATCGCCGATACCAAGAGAAGAATACTTACCTCTCGATGGTTGAAACCACCGAGAGATGATAAGATATAAGAACCGCTCATGATAATTAAGGAAATTAGCACTCTTGTCGGCTTCTATGGAGGTGTCTACATGGTATCTCTCATTATCAATACCAATAAGATATAGAAAAAAAATTCTTAGCTATAGAAGAAATACCTATAGTGATGTACTGCCGTATGAGATATTAGAGAATACTCTCGGTATGGGTGCGAGATTCATTTTGGACATACATCGCATTAGAATAAAAAAATGTGAATCAACTGGTGGTAGACAACGAGTTTGATTTTGAAGGTGTTGTCCAATTTCCAAGCTCTGAGAGGGCAATATTTGTATTTAAGAGCAGCCATGGCTGGAAAAGTGGACATACGCTCACTCCAAAGGGGATAATATTCAAAGTCTTTGGAGTAACATTCGTAGAGGTTTTGACGACCCGATTCATTGAAACAAGAATGTCTAATTGTAAGGTAACTCGGGTTTGGATTTAGATTAGGAGGTGGATTGGGATAAGGATTTTCAGTGGTTCGAGAAGATGAAGTACGAAGTCGTTTGTTGTGGGTCATTTTGAAATCAGAAAAGATGAACATGTAAGAGAAAACAAAACAAAACACATGTATACTTTTCAATCAATCCCAATACTCAATATATATATATATATATAGGTAAAATCAGTATATATAATATCCTTGTTTTTTTCGATTAACATAGGGTGATTACAAGTGGTAGTATATATTCTAGAGACTCTTAATCATTTGACAATGAATATTCAAAAATTATTACAGTCGTTGGTGTTTGAATCTGAAACCTCTAAAGATGACAATAATCTCTTTAATCATTGAGATAACTTAATCCGTACAAATATACATCCTTGTTAAATTAACTTAAACAAGGAAAGTATATTAGTAAGCATGACAATAATAAATATAAAAAACTGAAAAATAGATAACAAAAGAAAGAAAATGATTGGAAAAAAATAACCCAAAAATAAACGCAAAATTTCTTAGATAACGTAGTGACAAAAGAATTTGTTCATGTAGGGACAAAAATTTAATTTTTTCTTTAATTAGGGTGCTTGTTACAATATTCATTGGAGGATGTCTAGATTATCCGATAACTTTTTTAGAAGACGTGTAGATGATTCGATGTTTTTGGATTGTATGATTCCTGGTTCTCGAATTGTATGTAGCTTAGGGAAGAATTTGTGTTTTCCCTGCGTCTTTCCAAAGACATCATGTCTTCTATGCATCTTCCAAAAGACACTAAATGATCCGAACGACTTCCTATCGACACTGTAGCATTCACAAATAATTTCTCCAGCCCCTTATATGAGCCATTCATTTTTTTTTCAAACCATTATGGCAACAAATTTGTCCTAATATAGTACTCAACATACATTGAACAAAAGTAAGTTGTTCTAAAACAAACTTTTCATGTATAAAATTTAATTGGAACAAATTTCACATATTTCATACATTAACATAGTTTGTAGATATACGTTCAGCATGTATGAACAAAGAGCTTGCACTTTAGTCTTTGTTGTATGGAATTTATTTTAGATAAAAATTGATGGAATAAAGAGAAGGTATTGCAGAGCAGCTTTTTAATGAACATCAGTAGGTTGATGTGAACTGGTAAGAATAATAGGAAAGAGAACCAAGTTGCCAGCTTTGGTGGAGAAGTTTCGCCTTTGCATTTTCACCGGCAGCACCCATGGCTACATGCAAAGGGTAGAAGTGGTCTGGCCAAGGGTGAGCCATCTTCGCATACGGTCCTTTCTCTTGAAACTGGTTCACATCTTCGTACCTAAAAGAATAATCAAATAATATTAAGCGGAATCCATTAAGTAGTTTCAGACTTCAGTAGTTAAAAGAAGTGTTATTAGTTCTTCAGATTTTGGATTCGAACAATTATATTTGCAGTATGTGTATGATTTGTCCATAGTTACGAAAGATTTTAAACTTATACTATCTTATTGGAAAATGATTTACCTTCCACGAAGGATAGTATCTTTAACCCAATTATCAAACTCCAAAGCCCATGGAAAAACACCACCGGCACTGTCCACATTGCTTGAAAGGGTGATCAAGTTGTGAGTGGAGGCACCGGAACCCATGATAAGAACACCTTCATCCTTGAGAGGGGCGAAAGCCTTTTCCATGTTGTAATGGCAACTACCATCATTTTTTGACTGAAGAGAGAGTTGACAAACCGAAATATCGACCTCTGGATACATGAGCATGTGTGGAATCCAAGCACCATGGTCCAGCCCACGTTCCCTGTGTTCATCAACACTACAAGAAAATATAACTTTAATGACACACGAACAATAACACACGTTAATTTGTGACTTACAAAAAATGTGTGTCATAAAAAATGTCATGATTTATGACTTACAATAATGTGTCATATTTAATAGTCATATCTAAAAAATTTGCAAAAACACGGAGTACACTTTTAATTGTGTGTCATCTGTAAAAGTCGTCTTTTAATTTCCCCCATTATTTTCATCCTTTCTCGCTTCTTCCCCCTCGATAATCAGTTCACGCCGTATGTTTTCCCTTTTTTTTCTTTTTCCCTTTTTCTCTTTGCATCAGTTCACTGGTTTCGCCATTCACCACAACGCAGACGAAGGGAGTCAAAATTCAAGGTTTTCCACAGGTATTCCTCGTTCTCTATTCACGACCGCCGACTCTATAGGGTAATCGAGCTCAACAATGGCCTCGTCGCTTTGCTGGTTCACGATCCGCAGATTTACCCCGACGGACTTCCTGAAGGTTCTCATTTGCTAGATAAGGCTAAGACTGAAGGTGGAACTAAAGACGACGGCGAAGATGAAGATGATGATGGAAATGGAGATGAGGATGGAGATGGAGATGACGAAGAAGAAGAGGACACGGACGATGAGAAACAGATTGAAGAGAAGGTTGTTCAGTCTAAAAAGGTTTGTCTTCTCCCTTTCTTATATTGATTGAAGTCCTGACATTAGATTGATTCATCGATTGTGAATTTGGTTGCAGGCAGCGACAACATTGTGCGTAGGATTTGTCAGCTTTTCTGACCCTCCTGAAGCGCAGGGTCTCGCTCATTTTCTAGGTTTCGTTACTTTCAGCTCTATTCATTCTTCTCAACTGCACTAATTTCTGCTCTGCTTAATATTCGTGAATTTTTTTTATTTTATCGTAGAACATATGCTATTCATGGGGAGTACTGAATTTCCTGATGAAAACGAGGTTTGTTCATCCATGTTCTTTCCTACTACTATTCTTGATATCCACAAGAAAATATTTTTATTTACAAGCTTCTTCTATTGTTAATTTAAACAGTTCATTCTTTCTTGGCCTACATCTAAACAGTGCGTTTATTATTTGATTATGTTATAATTATTTGTCCTACAAACATTGACACTCTTCTTTGCTAGTATGATAGCTACTTATCCAAACACGGAGGCTCATCAAATGCATATACAGAAGTTGAGCATACATATTATCATTTTAAAGTTGAAAATGAATTTCTCAAGGGAGCTTTGAGAAGGTAAATGATCAAACTATAAAAGGGAGGAGCTTTAGTTATTGAATTACTTTTTCCACTTCCTTTCCATTTCTCGATTCGAGCTTTGTTATAGAATTTTTAATGGAGTAATAATTTGCTCTTGTTTTATATACTGGTTCCCCAAATCGTTCGAATTTGATCCTTATGTTGGTCTTTTGTCTTTATCAGATTCTCTCAGTTTTTTATTTCACCCCTTGTAAAATTTGAAGCAATGGATCGAGAGGTGCTTGCCGTGGATTCTGGTTTGCCCCATGGATCTCTGTCTATTATCTGTTTTCATGCATCCCCTTCTCTGTTTTTTCTTCTTCTAAATGTAGGAAATTTGTTTTCTTTCTAGTTTACACTTGTTGTTACCTGTACTGATTCATGATTTCTGAGCGGAACTCTAATTTCTACCAAAATGGAATTGTAGAATTTAACCAGGTTTTGCAGAATGATATTTGTGGCCTTCAGCAACTCCAGTGCCATACATCTGAACACGGTCACTCTTTTAATAGATTCTTTTGGGGTGAGATCCTTGTCATTGTTGTTCACTTTTTGAATGATTTGTTTATGTCTACTGGTATGAAAATGGGAATTTTGGTTTTCTTAAATGGTATGAAACAAGAAGAGCCTGGTTGATGCTGCCGAGAGAGGGTTTGATCTACGCAAACAAATACTAGAACTATATAAAGATTATTACCATGGTGGACTGATGAAGTTAGTAGTAATTGGTGGTGTTAAGCTACTCTTTTGTGGTTCTCTAGATTTGTGGCCATCGTTTAGTCTCTCTCTATTGCTAGTCTCTGCTGGAAAAAGTTCTTTGAACAATGATCACATTTATTTTCACTGCCTCTTTTTCCCTATTTCCATCCTTTTTTTTTATTTTTCTTACCCATTTGGCCTTGTTTATATTTTAGATTGCTGATTATGAACTTTATAATCTATCCATAAAACGCTTAAACATATCATATATAAGCATTAATTGTAATTTTTGAAGGAATTTCAGTAATTATTATACATGTGGTTGTTGGAAGAAAATTATGGTGTCATTAATGTCTAAAATATTTGTCTACATTACTTAAATAGCATAATCGTGATAATACTTGTTGATGGTGTTGAGCCTTTGGATGTACTTCAGCAATGGGTTGTTGAATTATTTTTGGGTGTCAAACAAGGTTCTCAAGGGAAGCCAGAGTTTAAGTTGGAAAGTCCTGTCTGGAGAGATGGAAAACTTTATAGGTTGGAGGCAATGAAGGATGTCCATATCCTTGAGTTAAGCTGGGCACTACCTTGTCTTTTTCAAGAGTATCTGAAGAAATCGGAAGATTATTTGGCTCATCATCTTGGTCATGGTATATAATTCTGCATTATCCTAATGATTAAGTAGGAGGTTGCTCGCGGAAGTAATAATAACAAAGAAAAGGATGCATATGCATATATGAAGAAAATGTGAACGGTCCACGGCTTTGATGCCTTATAAATGATAAGTGATTCTTGATTAGTATGTCGAATGTAGATAATGTTTTTCATTTGCTTCAATTTCCAATGCTTAACCCTTCAAGTTTATTCATTATGCTTAACTACTACTAGTACTACTATAAGCACTTAAATTGATTTGCAAATGTCAACTCTGAGTTTAAGACTGATTTTATATTTATGGAGCTCATCAATTTTCATTCCTGGAGTTGGAAAGAAGGCAGGGCAGCTACCTTATTTTAAAATATGACCACGCCGTTCGAGTTATCGATTCTTTATTTTGATGCATAATAAATCTTATAGATAAGGGTAGAGGATTGATTTGTTATTGTTGAATTATCAGTTTATCACAACTCTGATAATTAAAATAAGATGATGAAAATTTAGGCGTGACTTGAGTTAAAATAAGACGGTAAAAATTAAGACATAGATCAAGTCACTCGTTTAAAATGATATGTGGAATAATTCTTTTTAAAAATCAATTGTGATATCTACTAGAAGATATATAAAAAATCAAGTATATGTATAATTTGATATCTAAAAGAAGAAATATAAATAAATCAAATACATTTATAATTTGATATCTAATGTCACAAGAAGAATTGAGGTTGATTCAAGTCTATTATGAGAACGTCTCTGAATACTTTAATAGCTTTAAATAATTTTTAAAACTATTAAACAAGTTAAAAAATTTTAATTCATTTACATCTATATCTAATAACTATGTGTTATCTTGATTGAGTTAATTTAGTGCCAACTTAGTTGAAAATTATAAAATGTCATTTCTTATAACTGATAAATAATTTTATATGATGATACTTTTCTTTTCATACATATGATCATTGAATAAAAAATAAAAATCACTCGTCCAAATATCAGATGTAATCTTCTAGATCAGACTAATCTTTACAATCATATCTTATCAATTATATACACTATATCATAAAATCTTCAAAGATTTAAACATCATTTATATATGAAAATTAATTAAAATATATAATGTAAAAATTAATCCCAACGTTTTTATCCTCTATTGTATTTTTTTGGAGTATTTTGGCCTTTAGCATTTCATTTTAGTGTCAAAATACTACTAATATTTAAAAGAATAATCACTTTGTCATTTATTATTTTTTTGGGAGCATTTTAACTCTCCATGTTTCATTTTAGGTAAAAAAAAAATCTCATTATTTGGAATGTTATTCGTGTGTTAACTAATAATTTTTATCTATAGAGAAAACTTTTTATCTATCCTTTACCTTTACCTTCTTTACTTAAAAAGAATAGTAATAGATGCCGAGATAACAAAGGGTTGTTCTCTTCCCAAGACTACTACTCCTACTAGGGGGAATTCCCGCCCCCGAGCGAAGAATGAAAGGCTTAGTGAACTCGCAGGTACTTGACTCAGACAACAAGGTTTTTATTTAAAGATATAGATAGACCAAGTTGTTCGATGAGTTTTTGGTATTGTACCGCTACCAGTCGATCTGCGATGACAATGTCATCACCTAGAATCGCATACTTGGTAAAACTTAACACCCGGGTACACTAACTCCGCCGCATACCACACCACAAAGTGATGTGATAGAATTTAACTTATCACCTCGAATGAATTATTATAAAAATCAAAATAAAAAAGAAGGTGATTTCAAGAAAGCAGAGACTCACTTGCTCAGATACCCTTTGCTTGCTTGTGTAGCCTATACTTTGCAAGCCGGAATGGTTGAGCACACCGATAACGCCGGACCATGAAAACCTCGACTCTCCCCTTCCCCACCTTATCCCCTGCTGGCTGGAATGAGTGGGCCTCAAATTCTTTCTACGAGACAAATGAGTAGCCAATGAAGAAGAGAAAAGCTGCTTTCTCTTAGTCAGAAGAAGTATTCCCTAGCAATCTGAGTCAAAAATAATGATGCGCCTTTCTCTTTTTGGAAAGATTTTAGCATTATATCTAAAGACTCCATCTCTGCTTCGTCGAGACGGCGGACATCGATAGGACCCAGCTTGGTCTCTAACTCCTCTTTCTTTAACCCGATTGGCTTGAAGCTTTCATTTCCTGATGTCAGAAAAGAAAAGGTGGTTCTGTCGCATTCTTTTAGATATCCACGTGTGATACCTTCACTTCATTTAAGCAGCTTCTCAGCTACGGTCTTTGGGAGGCCGGGAAGGAGGAGCAGGGCAGAATAGACTACTATAAGGGTTTCCACTTCTCTCTTCAAAAGGAGAAAAGGGAGAATGCCGCGATAAAAGAGCTCTGTTTCCGAACAGATTTGTCCGGTGGTGGGAAGAGGTTCGTGCTTTAGCTTCTTTCTCATTAGGCTACTTTCTCTTAGTTTCCTAAACACTCAACCTATTCTTTTGTTTTGACGGGGATTTCATCGAAGGTAATGATTCCTGTTCAAGGAGACTCCAGAGTGGCATATTCGACGTAAGATGAACCTCTATCCATCAACTGATCTGTCTGGGGGCGAGAAAAAGAGTACCGATCTCCTTCTTCCGCCCATGCCTTTCGTTCAAGGCCGAGTCTAGTATTCTGCCCTTTCTGCTCGCTTGCTTCCGATTCCCTTACTCGATCCGATTCAATCCCTCCTGCTTTCTTGTTCTATCTTTCTGCATGATGAACCTTTGGGGAGAGCAGCAGAGTTTTCGCCTGTCCCTCTACTCGCCTATTCTTTCTTTTTTCATTGGTGGAGGCCCGTATCAAAGGTAGCTCATTCTTCTTGATTCGTTATACTTTGTTCTTAAAGATCCCTCTTTCATCGTGAACCGAACTAGCGGGTCTCATCTGACTTTTCTTATCCCCGGGATCGGCAGATAATTGCTACTCTTGTGCAAAAAAGTTTGGAATGCCCAAAGCTCAGCTGTTAAAGGCGAACACAGCCAAGCTTATAAGAGTAGGAGAACCTCATTATCCACTGCCCTGAGTCGGAGTAGGCCTCCCGATGCTGCTCCTCCATTTTCACCTCTGCTACTTCTATCCCCTATTGAGTAAAGGATTGAAGACTATAATCGTTAATAGTCGTCGTGGATTGACTTGTTTCATCAAATAAAAAGATTCTGTTCAACATGTTGAAATGAGAAAAAAGGATTCCCTCCAGACAGAAAGAGAAAGCGAGTCCAAAACCTAACATAAAATCCAAGTCCAATAAGGTTGTTCGAGTTCGCTGGCTGAAGTAGAATGATTCAAATTGGATTAAACCCAACAGAGATTTGAGGACTCATCATGACGTCATGGTCCCAAAACTTGGAAAGAAATTTACTTTTACGTCCTTTGAATTAAAATAAAATAAAATTCAGACTAGTACTACCTTCGAGAGAAAATCTTTGCTCCCCATAACGAAGAGAGTTCTTTGTTCCCCGGCTGATAGGAATAAAACGCTTAGTAGTACAACTCATAGCATGGAGGATGATAGTCACACATATCCTCCTGATTCACCAAACCAAACCAAACCGTTCAAAGACGGCAGTTCGGGCTTCTCTAAACGAAAGGGAAGCCCTCCCTTCTGCCACGCGTTCCTATCAATATCGATTAGAGTATATTGAAAGAAAAATTTGCATGCGTCCCAACGGATACCAACAAATGGAGTGAATGCACTATATCTGCTCTCAAAAAAATGAATATGAAGCCAAAATGACTATTTTAATAAACGTTAAGAGTTACTTTTGGTATTGTTACTTTAAAAATACTTATTTATCAACTATACTATATAGTATCTAAAGTCCACTGATATATATATAATCATAAAAGCATCTCATATACAAGAGACCCATAACACAAATATTCATAATTAGTAGTGAAGACCTGTGCCACCAAAATAAAACAAAAGGTGTATAGAGGTATTATAGTAAAGTAGAAAAATGGGAAGCGAACGATCCTTTAAATGTAAAGTTCAAAAGTTTACAATCCATTAGTATTTGAAAAGGGTAAAATTAAGAGGTGACTTAAAAACGCTCAGAGTGTTTCTTAAAATGCAATATATATATATATATATATATATACACACACACACATATATAGAAGCAAAAACTATATTAAACATTATTTGAAATATAATTTGTGAAAACATAATATCACCCTCCATCTAATCATCGAATTTGTGTAAATTTTTAAAAACTTTACATCAACTTGTATGCCCATTAACATGGGCGTATCTAGGACCACTCCATGCCCAAAAAGGGTAAATTTCTTATTTAGTCACCTACTTATTATTTATTTTTTGTTTTGGTCATTCAATTATTATTTAATTTAAATCATACA